ACATTAAATTTAAGTATTTTAATTTATTATTGTATCTACCTCAAAATAACTACTACTTCTTTGCTTCTTTAAAAAAAATTAATATATTTATTTATATTACCCTTTAAATAAAATAAAATACAGTATAAGAGAAGTTTTTTTAATAGAATGAATAATTAAAATAAATAGATAATAATAAAGTAATGATAAGGAGGATGAAAATTTGAAACTAGTCATTAAATTAATTAATGTATATAATATTACAAATAAAAAAAATAATTATTAAATAATATAAAATCTATATTTTAATATTTTAAATAAGGTAACAAAAATCGTGTCATTAATCATCTATTTAATCCTAAATTTTAATCTCTTTTATTATTATTCATTTATATATAAACCAACAAAAAAGGATAAATTAGAATAACAACATTTAATATCTACTCCCTTCATCCCAAAATGACAATTATTTTTTTACTATAAATTTATTCTAAATTAATTATCAGTTTTTAAACGTAGACAATATTTTTTGGTAACTTTAATATTATTGTTATTATCAATGATAAATGAGATTAAAATTTGAAACTAAAATTTGAAATTAATAACATGGCATAAGTTATGTAATTTAAAATATTAAAAAGTAAATTCTTATATTATTTTATTACTAACTCTTTTTATTTTTTTATGATCCATTGGAGGAAATTTTTAAATTAGGTATCGGATACCAAATAAAAGTATGACCGACCGTACTTAAGCAATCCATTGAAGAAATTTGTTAAATTGGGTATCGGGTACTAAATAAAAATTATGACCGACCGTACTTAAGCTAACCCCAATGGGTTAATGTTTGCATAATTTTTATCCCTCATACCTGTGTAACTTTCACTTGTTACACCTTGATTTTGAATACAATTTATTGGGGGGTGGTGATTAGGATTTGATCCCTGGGAGTTGGCGCTATTGCGGTGTGAAACCTTAGGATGGTCGTGAATGTTGAGCAAATGCTCGACAGCTTGTATTGCAAGGATTTTGGAGTGTGGTTTTGACATGGGTTGGGTCTGTTGGAAGTGGTTTTTTGACATATGTCTGGCTGGTGGAGTGACCTCATTGGAACCGTCGGAAGTTCCTACCTAGACTAGAGGTGGCTTGTTTGTCTATGCTACCGAGATAATGGGGGCTCTCAGATAGTGATTTGTATCTACCTGAGCTTGGAGTGACATTGTTGGAGGTACTAACAAGATCGGTCTGCTGATAACAGCAGTAATCTTATATTACTTTACAGAACTGTCTATTCTCCTATGATATATGACCGTATCATTAATCTATAATGCATATTGAATACTATATATAACACTATAAACTAGCAACGTCAAAAGTTAGATTCACTGATAAATTAAATTCATTGATAAATAAGTATTATCATATAAGCTAAATACAGAATTCAAGTCTTAAAGTCTAGGGGTAGTGCTTAAGGAAATTAATTCCTTTAAATGCATCATACAAGGAAGGTGCATTATTAAGATCATTAAAAAAAAAATAAATTCGAAAAAAAAAAAAAACAAAAAGAAAAGAACAAAAAACTAAAATAAAAAAAAAAAATTAAGTTGGCTCAATTTAACACTTCTGTGGCGTGGAATGTAGAGTGAATTGTTCTTAATAATGAGTATCCTCATTTCGTTTCTTTGATTTTTTAATAAATTCATTAAAACCATATAATTGTTGAAAAAAAAAACAGAGAGAAAATTCTAAGTACATCCCAATTTTATTTTAAAAATGAATTGCAAGCCTAAAATTACAATTATATTCTTTTCTCTCTCTCTCTCCCTTTTTTCTCTGTGTAAATTAACTACTGATTATTTTCACTTTATTTTTCCTTATTTTTATGCAACAATCATGATTGTTTTATTTGTTGCATTTGCGTACGTCACTTGGTGAGACATGACCAAATTTCAGACTTCAATTTAAGTATTTCGTCAAACTTCAAACTGTGTCTGAGGCAATCAAGGCCTATACCTCCCTCCCAGGAAAGCGTGGAAAGGAAAACAAAAATAAAATGAAAAATCTTCATTTTCAATTTTGCAAACCAACACTTGCCGTTATGAAAGTAGCGTAATAATTCGTAGGAGGGTCTCTCCTTACAGGTATTATATTGTTTTATATAATTAGGACCTGATTATTGTTGTTACTCGAAATTTTAATCTTCATATCTGCTATATATAAATGTTGTTTCTTCTTCTTGGCTTCCTTCTTTACATTCCAGCATATCAGCATTTTTCCTCACAACAGAAAATATGAAAAATTAGTACTAAACTAAAGTAAACAAAAGGAAAAATAATATTGAATAATGTTCACAAAGATAAAAAATAGTGGACTGAGGCGTGAATCAATCATTTTTTTAAAGATTTTTTGGGCTATTAGTGCAATAGTTTTTTATAATCACACTACCCTCAAGATATAATAACCCAACATTCTTTGTTGTAGCTTTACAAGAACTGCACCCTTGTAAAGCAAGCTCCATACCACCACCTTTCCTTGCCCAACAGAGAATAAGAGTGCAGCATAGTTCTTTTTGTAACAGCATATAACACAAATGGAGAGCTACTCATTTATAGATTTTTAAATTGTAACCGAAATATAAATATTAATTTAAATGACTAATTAAATCAAAATCATTGCACAATGAACATATAAAGGGTTGCAATAAACATTTCATTTATTTTCCTTCGAGAAAACGCATGCTCAATAAATTTGCAAATCAATTTTTTAATTAAAATTTACAGCAATTAATATAACAGTTTAGCAATATATTGTGGTCTTTCAATAAGAATCTGTTAGTAGTTAAAAAACTAGATTCGATCATACCCCAGAGGAAATAAATTTCTCGAAATGTGCATTCTAGCTAGCTCAATAAGCATGGAATCCCATTAAGGAAAAGGACAACCAACGCGGCATAGAGCATTGGGGAGAAGGCAGGGGAGGTTTTAGAGGTGGAGAATAGAAGCAAAGCGATTGACTTGGGTGCTCAGCTGAGAGCATGAGTGGTGTTAGATGTCATTTGACCTTTGTGGCAGGGGACGAGAGCTTGATTTGAGGTTAATCTAGAGGTATACAGAGTTATCTTTAAACATGATTTTTTTTGCCTGAGATATATATGCAAGGTTTGTGGATTCCTGGAACATACTAAACCAGAACCAGATTGTGGAATTAAAGTGAACATGTTAGCAAAAACCAATACCTTTACTATGATGCACGACCAATAGTCAGTAAGAAGGGGAAAAACAACTGAAGCTATCATGAGGTGGAGAACTATCTCTTGAAGGAGCTTTCCTTTGTTGATGGTGATGATGTTGAAATATATGGATATGTGAGTGGAGTTGAGTTGAATTAAGTTGAGTGATGTGCAAAGATCTCATATCCATAATAAATAAAGTATTAGAGTGCAACATATATGTGTGAAAATTTCATGAAATTTATAAATATGTTTTTTGAGTTCAATATAGTATCTCTTTACATATGTTCATATTTTGTTGTACATGCATTCATAAGCCAACTTGTTAAACATTTTCAAGAAATAATGGTAGGGTGGTGAATTTATATATATATATATATATATATAAAGAAAAGAAAAAGCTAGCAATAACTTGAAATATTTATTGTTTTGCACTTTATCTTGCATTGACTGCAAATCACTTTTTCTGTGACATGGAACTCCTTGGATTGAACAAATTAAAGCGCAGTCTAGAATCTCTAACACGATTCAAAACAACATTCCCACTGCCATTCTTTTTTTTTTTTTTTCTTTTGGGGAGGGGGCGTAAAGCACTACTGCAATTCTTTTTGTTGGTTTTTATATATTACCGCCAAAGCCTCCTCATGTGACGTAAAAAGTGCGGCCAGACAAATCCATACAATCAACATGGAATCTTTTGTTTGTTTTGTGTTCTTTTACCGTTCCGTTACGCTCCTTTCAAGTGTTCTGAAAGCAAAGAAAAGAAAGTCGTAGAAACCTGAAAAATGAAAATATGTTTGGATCACGTGCTTGCTGCCTACTTCCGTATTTCTATGAAAAAAGAAAAGAAGACAATGTTACTTTCATTATCGTCAATCAAGGAGCCCTGTTGTGTAATAATAATTTTAAAAAAAAAGGAAAAAAAAAAGGGAAAAAAAGAGGAGGCCGTTGTAACTAAAAAAAATTAAATCGAGATTAATCACTACTAAAATATTTAGTTTCAGCAACATGCTTCCATAT